ACAACATCAATAACATCAATAACAACAACTACCACAATAAGTTAAAAGTGATCGTTCTTCTCTGCTCGCGCGATATTCAACGTGTATTTCCCAAACCCTCGATGCCCGCCCTCGTCGTCTTCGATCGAACCGCTCTTGGTGGTATAGTTTTCTTCCCTGCGGGCCGGGCCCCAGCAAGCGGCGGGGCGGCCGCGGACCGTCGCCCTGGCCAGCGGCAGTGCTGATCGGCGGCAGCCCGGCCCCAAGAGGGACGGACAGGGGACCGACCACTACGACGACGACGGAAGCGGCGACGAGCGAAAGCGAGAGCGAGAGCGAGAACGAGAGCGACAGCGGGGCCACGAAGGGGAGGAAGGGGGCCACGAAGCGGGACAGCGGGGCCACGAAGGGCATGCATCGGGGGCCACGACGGGCGCGAACAAGCGGGGGCTACGAAGGGCATGCGTATATCGGGGTGCACAAGGCTGCAACGGGGCCACGAATGGCAGCGAGGGGGCCACGAAGGGCAGCGAGGGGGCCACGAAGGGCATACATCAATCGGGCCACGAAGGGCAGCGAGAGGGCCACGAAGGGCTGCAACGGGGCCACGCAGGGTAGCGAGGGGGCCACGAATGGCTACAACGGGGCCACGAAGGGCAGTGAGGGGGCCACGAAGGGCTGCAACGGGCACGAATGGCAGCGAGGGGGCAACGAAAGGCTGCAACGGGACCACGAAGGGCAGCGAGGTGGCCACGGAGGGCTGCAACAGGGCCACGAAGGGCAGCGAGGGGGCCACGATGGGCTGCAACGGTGCCACTAAAATTCCCAAGCGAGAGCGCGATTATTGAGTAACGCAAGAGGAAGTCTCAGGCTGGAGCGGAGGTGCTGGCTAGATTGTGAGGAAGTCTCATGCGGGAGCCGCTGTTGTTGCAAACCGGGGGCCAACAACGCAATTTGATCCCCGTGACTTTCCTTGAAAAAGCCGGGTGCGAGCCCTGGGGAAGCACTTGGATTGAAAAACACAATGACCACCAGAGGGGGGATCAACAATCATTATTCGTCAATCGTGAGTTCAACAACAATAGCAATAGCAGCAGCAGCAGCAGCAGTAGCAAATAATTGTTCTTCAATCGTGAGTTCAACAACAATAGCAATAGCAGCAGCACTAGCAGCACCACCACCACCAACAACATCAACACTCGTTTAAAGGCTGTTCGCTCTTATCCTCCCGAGTGTCCGACAACGTGTATTTCCCAAACCCTCGATGCCTTCCCTCGCCGTCTTCGATCGTACCCCTTTTGGGGGTGTATCTATCTTCCCTGCGGGCCGGGCCCCGGCAAGCGGCGGGGCGGCCGCGGACCGTCGCCCTGGCCAGCGGCAGTGCTGATCGGCGGCAACCCGACCCCAAGAGGGACGGACAGGGTACCGACTACGATGACGACGACGACGACGACGACGACGACGACGACGGCGGCAGCGGCGACGACGACGACGACGACGACGACGGCGACGAGCGAAAGCAAGAGCGAGAGCGAGAGCGACAGCGGGACCACGAAGGGGAGGAAGGGGGCCACGAAGGGGGACAGCGGGACCATGAAGGGCATGCATTTGGGGCCACGACGGGCGCGAACGAGCGGGGGCCACGAACGGCATGCGCACACCGTATATTGGGCCGCAGAGGGCAAGGACGGGGCCACTGAGGGCAGCAACGGGGCCACGGAGGGAAGCGATGGGGCCACAAAGGGCGACAGCGGGGCCACGAAACGCATGCACATGGGACCACGCAGGGCGCGAATCAGCGGGGGCCACGAAGGGCATACATCAATCGGGCCACGAAGGGCAGCGAGGGTTCCACGAAGGGCTGCAACGGGGCAAACAAAGGCAGAGAGGGGGCAACGAAGGGCTGCAACGGGGCCACGACGGGCAGCGAGGGGGCAACGAAGGGGTGCAACGGAGCCTCGAAGGGCAGCGAGGAGGCAACCAACGGCTGCAACGGGGCCACACAGGGCAGCGAGGAGGCAACGAAGGGCTGCAACGGGGCCACGAAGGGCAGTGAGGGGGCCACGAAGGGCTGCAACGTGACCGCAAAGGGCATCGAGGGGGCCACGAAGGGCTGCAACGGGGCCACGAAGGGCAGCGAGATCCCGATCACGAAGTAAGCAGTGAGGGAGTCCAGAGCGTGAGCGCGACTCCTGGGTTCCTGAGTGTCGGGAGCGCGGCGCTTGAGAGTAAATTGCGGGGAATTCCACGCAAGAGCGCGATTCTTGAGTAAATTGCAAGCAAGTCTCCAGCGAGAGCGCGACTCCAGAGCGCCGAGAGTGTGACTTCTGAATAAAATTGTAAGGAAGTCCCAAGCCAGAGCGCGATTCCTGTGTAAAATACGAAGAAGTCTCAGGCGGGAGCGTGGGTCCTGGCTAAATTATGAGGAAGTCTTATGCGGGAGCCGTTGTTATTGTAACCCAGGGGCCAACAGCGCAGTTTGAGCCCCGTGATGTTCCATGGAAAAAACAAGGGTGCGAGCCCTGGGGGAAGCACATGAATCGAAACAACATAATGGTCACCAGAGAGGGGGGATCAACAATGACTATTCTTCAGTAGTGAGAAGTCAATGTTGATATGAGAAGGACCGGAGAACTCCGACCTACGCCAGAGCGAGAGGGCCGAACAGCCCAGGAAGCAAACGCAGCCATCTCCAAGTGGATCAGCACGGCCAACTGTCCATCACTACTCAGCAACGGATCGTTGAATCATATCGAATCGGACTTTGCGTCCGATCTGGCTGCGTCAACACGGAATCGGAATGGAATCTGATCGGCTGTACCTGTACTCGGATGCACAACAACGCCATGCGAACATCGGGCAACATCAGGTCGCCGGAATATATCAAAATCGAGTCGGGTTGAGCTAGCTGCAGCCAGTATCAAACGGGATCGATCGGATCGACGATGACCTTGCTGTCCAGCCCATAAACCTCCGTCGACTCGATTTTGCGCGAGTCGCTGGCCCCAGGGGACCTTGGCCAGCGTTTCGTCGACGGTCATGTCAAACGGACGCAAGGCCAAGAAATTACCCCATCGGCCGAAACTTTCATTACCAAATTACCCAAGACATAAACCCCTTCTCCACGCGAGGCGAAACTGCGTAAGCTGAAAACAAAAGAAAACATCGCCAAGCATGCGCGATCTACGCTGCTTTCATCTCCGCTGTGCCTCCCAGGAGCCCAAGAAAATAGCGACAATTGTGCAATTCGCAACCACGTAGGGAGCAGCGAGGTCCCGTCTTGGTCCGCGTGGCCCCCGACTCCGCTGAGCCTCCCAGAAGCCCACGACAATGGCGACAATTGCGCAATTCGCAACCAGCCAAGTAGTAGCGAGGCCCCGTCTGGGTCCGCGTGGCCCCCGACTCCACTAGACCTCCCGGGAACCCACGACAATGGCGACAACTGCGCAGTTCGCAGCCACCCAGGGAGCAGCGAGGTGCCGTCTGGGTCCGCGTGGACCCCGACTCCACTGGACCTCCCAGGAGCCCACGAAAAAGAAGACAATTGCGCAGTTCGCAACCACCCAGGGAGCAGCGAGGTCCACTCTGGGTCTGCGTTGACCCCGACTCCGCTGACCTCTTGGGAGCCCACGAAACTAGTGACAAGTGAGCAGTGCGCAGCAATCCATGGAGCAGCGAGGTCCCGTCTGGGTCCGCGTGGCCCCCGACTCCGCTAGACCTCCCGGGAACCCACGACAATGGCGACAACTGCGCAGTTCGCAGCCGCCCAGGGAGCAGCGAGGTGCCGTCTGGGTACGCGTGGCCCCCGAATGCGCTGTGCCTGTCAAAAGCCAACGAAAGATGCGACAATTGCACAAAACGCAGCCACCCAAGGAACAGCGAGGTCCCGTCTGGGTCCGCGTGGCCCCCGGCTCCGCCGTGCCTCCCGCAATTCGCAACCACCCAGGGAACAGCGATGTCCCGTCTGGGTCCGCTACCCCCCAGGAGCACACGAAAGTGGCGACAACTGCGCAGTCCGCAGCCACCCAGGGAGCAGCGAGGTCCCGACTGGGTCCGCTTGGCCCCCGACTCCGCTGGACCTCCCAGGACCCCCCGACAGCGGCGACAACTGCGCAGTTCGCAGCCACCCAGGGAGCAGCGAGGTCCCGTCTGGGTCCGCTGGGCCTCCCAGGAGCCAACGACATGGGCGACAACTGCGCAGTTCGCAGCCACCCAGAGAGCAGCGCAGGATGAGGCAAGAGGAGAGGAGGAGGAGGAGGAGGAGGAGGAAAAGGAAGAGGAGTCGCGACCGCAGTGCTCTATTCAAAACGAGAACCCAACATAGGACGGCTGGAAAAAAAAACGCCCGGCACAATCCCTTCGAATCTCCAGAAATCTTCGTCAAATCCACGTCGGAACCGCGTCAGATGCAACAGGATGCCACAATCATCGGACAGAGAAAGTCCCCCGATGGTGCGACGCAACCGAGTGCCCTCCACCTCCCGAACCCCCCTCAAGATCCAGTCAGCATCGAATCGAATCACATCGACACGGAGACGGAATCGTATCGAACTCGCCGCGCCAGTATGCACATTAACACCATGCAAGCATGGGGGTCGCATCGGATCGTTGGAACACTCATCGGATCGGGCAAGCCGAAGTCGGTACCAAATCGGATGGATCGGATCGGCATGGACCTTGCCCTCCCGGCGCATGCCTTCGCCTCTCGATCTTCGATCCGCTTCCTCATCCTCGATCTTCAATCCTCAATGAGCCTCCTCAGCGATCCTCGAGCCTCCCATTCCTCGATCCTCGAGCCTCCTCCTCCTCGATCCTCGAGCCTCCTTCTCCCCCTCCTCCTCCTCCGGCTCCACCTCCTCCACCTTCTCCTCCTCTTCCTCCTCCACCTACTCCTCCTCCTCCTCCTCCTCCTCCTCTCCCTCGATCCTCGATGCTCGATCCTGCTCCTCGATGCTCGATCCTGCTCCCCCTCGATCATCGATCTGGCGCCTGCCCTTCAGCCCCACCCCCACACGGGCCGCCTGTCCAGAACGCCCTGCTGCTCCGCGGCGCCGGCGGGCGGCGCCGGCGCGGTGGAGCTGCAGGCCTGGCGGGGCCACTCGGGGCCGCCAGGGCCGAGGGGGGCCGTCCGATCGGATGCGGCGGGCTCGTGTCGTGGCGGCCTGCGCGGTGGATACATATACACACACATATATATATATATATATATATATATACACATACATACATACATACCTACCTACCTACCTACCTACCTACCTACCTGCATACATACATACATACATACATACATACATACATACATACATACATACATACATACATATAATTATGTGTATCTCTATACATATATACACAGCGACGGCATTGGATTAGGAACCATCGGATGAGGACCCCAGGGTCTGGAGACCGAAGGTGCTTCAATCGTGGAATTGGCCATGGATACTACCGCCACTATCATCAGATGAAGGATCCTGCGGGCTTAAAGTCTCCTGGGCAGATTCCTTGACCAACGCCCCCCCGTATCCACCGCCTGGCGCCGTGGGATCCCAAAGGGCTGTAGATATGGATATGAATGTACATTTACACATGTATATGTATATATATATATGATTGAACCATCGCTCGCGCTTCGCGCGCGCTCAAGCTCTAGCTAGGCTTGATAGGCTAACTCATGTAATATCATGTTGTTCGCTTCTTGCGTCCAGGGACTTCCTTGGAGGCCCTGCGCAAGCCTCGGAATCGCATAGAACGGGAAGTGCGGAAACGCAGAAATCATTATTTTCCTTTAGGTGTTCAACGATTGGAGGCCCTCAAAGGCTTCCTGGGTTCCTTTTTGGAAGGTGAGGGGGGTCTGTTTCGTTGTCTGTTGTGCAAGAGTAAACAAGGGCCAAACTTGAAAAAAAAAGAATTGTGGGATTTCCATGTTGTCCAGTTCCTCGGCGCTGTTCGGTGCTGTTTTGTGTTTGTTCCTCGCGGGTTTTTGTTAGCCGGGCCCCTCAAAGGCGTGGGATCTTCCGGACCCCCTGGGGGTTCTGGAGGCCTCTGGAGGCCTGGAGAGGGTATCTCGGGCTGCGCGGGAGCGTGTTGGGCCGTTCTTTACGTTCTGGGGGCTCCCTGGGGTCGTCTTGGGCTGTCGTTGGGCGTCTTGGGCCCCCCCCCCGGGAAGCCGGGAGGCGCGGTACCAGCCAGATGTCAGGGGATGTGCGGGATCTCCGAGTATGAGTCCCACTTTGAAAAAAAGAGAGGGGATTATGGGAATTCAATTTTTGTTGTCAAAATCCTCTATCTTTGAATGTTGGAAGCGGGAAAACGTGAGAAGGCGAAAAACATAGGAAAAACCATTGGAAATCAACGATTTGACCCTCTTTGGGCTCTCTCGGGACGGCTCTCGCAGCTCTCTTGGGCTGTTCTTGGAGCCTCGTCGGGGTCTTTTGGGGGCCTCTCAGGGATGGGAGGTGTGTTGGGGGCCTCTGGGTGGTCCTGGAGGCCTCTCGGAGGTCTTTGGAAGCCTCCTGCTCCCGCTCTTGGGCCCATCTTGGGCCTGTTCTGTGATGGTATGGGGCTGTCCTGGGCGCCTCTTCGGCAGTCTTGGAGCCTTCTTGGCCCGTCTTGGGGCCGCCCTGAGGGTCTCTTGGGTAGTCTTGGGGCGGTCTTGGGAGTCTTTTTCGGCGAGTAGCCAAACACATGGAAACAACCAATACAAATCTACGATGTTGGCCTCTTCGGGCCGTCCGGGGACGCCTCTCGGACCTCTCTTGGGGTCTCTTGGAGCCTGGGAGCCTCGAGAGCCGCCGAAGACTGACTTGGGCTGCTTGGGAGCGTCGTGGACCATCCTTTCGCATTCGTGGGGCTCCTGGGAGGCGTCTTGGACTGGGACCCGGGGCCGGGGGGGGCGGTATATATTTAGTTTATATAAAGCACACCACACTAACATAGACAAGTACATACATACCTACCTACCTACCTACCTACCTACCTACATACATACATACATACATAAATACATGCATGCATGCATGCATGCATACATGCATACATAATTATATACGTACATACATACATACATGCATACATGCATACACACATACACAGACATACACATACATGCACACACATACATACACACATACATACATACATGCATGCATACGCACATGCGTACATACTTACATACATACATGCTTACATACATACAGCCAGACAGACATACATCCATGCCTTCATCCATCCATACATACATACATACATACATACATACATACATACATATCATACATACATACATACATACATACATACATACATACATACGTACATATGTGCATACATGCCTACATACATAAATCAACACATCCATCCATCCATCCATCCATCCATCCATCCATCCATCCATACAGACAGACAGACAGACAGACAGACAGACAGACAGACATACGCACTTCCCTACATGCATGCATGCATGCATACATGCATACATACATACGTACGTGCGTGCGGCCCAATGGGGCCCAACCACATCCATATCCACCTCCTGCCGAGGCCCCCGAAGGTCGATAGAGAGAGACAAGCAAGAATGCGTCCAAATCGCCCGAACGCATACGCTAAGAGAACGGGAATGAGGGGGAGGGGCCGACAACCGAACCGCTATCGCGGCGGCTTGCCCTCCCGCATCCTTTTGATACGGTGCTTCTGCACAGCTAGGGTCGGGGAGTGGTCCGAGGAGCCCTTGCAGGTCCGCTTGAGGGCCACCACCTTACCCAACTCCCCGACGTGACAGGCACAGCGTTCGTAGAAGGCGACGCCGTTGACCTCGGCCATCCGATGGCCGAGGTCGTGCAACAGAGCCCAGGCCGCAGGGTCCCGCCCCCCAGAGCCCCGCGCCCGAGGCCCAAGGGGGTCCGACGGGGCCCCACCACGCGACGGCCCAGGCCACGAAGCACGATCGGCGACCCCCGCCGAAGCCGACCCCTCCCCCGAAGCAGAGCCTCCCGCCCCCACAGGGCCAGGCTCTCCATCGGAGAGGGTCAGCTCCCAAGAGCACCCCGCGTCAGGCCCGGCAGGGGCGCCCGCCGAGCCCTCGGGCAAGGGACAGACTCCTCAGGCAGCTGGTCGGCAGCATCCAGCGCCGTACGAGCCCCCTCGGACACAACCAGTTCCAAATCGGTGGTGCCCCGCCCAAAAACCAGATTCGCTTTCCAGAAGTCGAACGGGGAAGGACGACAACGGGCGGCAACGGATGCAAGAGTGCGGAGTCCAGCCTCTGTTCGAGTGAAAATGCCGCACTCCCGACATCGCCACTCTCCTCCGGTCTTGCTGTAATAGAGGTAGTGACCACCAGGTCCAGAAATAGAGACGATAGGTGCGCAAAGCTCGGGCTGGGGGGCTCTCGGCCTAGCAGCCCCCAGCGACGACCCCGACGAGCACAGACCAAGCTCAACGAGGCGCCCCCCAGCCCAGGCCAAAAACACGCGAGAAATCCTGCGATTCCTTCAGGGCCAGCCTATGCAAATCAGCCGTCCCGCGGCCGACCGAGTCACACGGTCGCACGAAGCCCCCAGTTTTGCAAAGAAATCGTCCCAAGCACTCCCTAGGACATAGCAAAACGGAGGGCCTTGCTCAGGCCCGAGGCAAACAGCAGCACCGACATCCTTATGGGCGGGGCACCAATACACCACAGGGCGGGCCCTTCCCCGAGACTCAACTACAGCGTGGATTTGTTTCCATACTGACGCACGCTTGCCTGCTGAACTGGTGGCGACCGGACTCCATTCATGCGCTTCCTGAGCAAGGCTATGGAAATCCGTGACAACTATCTCCACATACGGTAATTTTTGCAACGCGCGCAGCATCGCCACACGCTCTGCTTCGCCGACTGTCTGGCTCAGCCCCGCTAGCCGCCCATCGCAGGCGCGCTGTGGGAGCCCTGCGTCAGACACCTGGACCGGAGCCCATCCGCAACTGCGAATTTCTGGCTGCTGGTTAGACCACGACCGTGAAACACGACGTCGCCTCGCTGGCCCGGTGGGGCGGCGCAATCGCCCCACCAGAAAATCGGTGGGTCCCGAGGTGGCTGCACCCGAGGGCCCCGCAACAGCGGCATGCCCACCGAAAGCTCAAAACTGTAAGGATCAGAGATCCTCGGCGCCCGATCGGGCCCTAGGCCAAAAAACCATCCCGAATTTTAGCCTGAGCTTCTGTGATGGGCACCTCCTCATCTCCGTCAAGAAGTGTCTCCCGCTGCGCAGGGCGCTCCAAGAAGGTGGCCCACAGACTCGCATGGGGCTCCGCATCCTCGACACTTTGCATCAGGCGCGCACCCAGCAGCATGCGCACGATCTTTCTGCCATCAAGACTTGGCCAACACGGATCGAATGATCCCAGCCGGCTTCGCGGTCTTGAGCGCGGCCCCTTCGGGCCCAACCGAAGTTCGAATCCCGCGGGGCCACAACCCGCGACCGACAGGGAAATCAGGAAAGGTGCGCTTGGACCCTGCGCATCTGCCACCTCTGGATGCCAGCGCGCAGGGTCGATGTGCAATAACGAGAAAGACACCCGAAGGTCAGACCGCGCAACTAACGACGGCTCCATCGACCAATCGACCCTCATCAATGACAGGCAAACGACCGCAATGGGCCCAGACGCGCGCTGCCACGTGAACGCCCCCACTCGCTCGTCAGCCAGGGCCCCCCCAAGCCCGCTCAAGCATTCCAGGCAAAACCGTCTGCGTCCACGCTACATGGGCATAGTGCTTAAAGGGGCCCAGGGTAACCTCGAACATCGGATCGTACCACGGGCCAGGCTGCGTCGCAAGGTAGACCGTAATGGGCCCCCCACGACCCTTGGCACCCACGAGAAACCCCGCTGCCGCTCGGAGCCGACGGCGCTCGGTGTCAGTCGCGACCGAAACACCGCAGCTGCGACTGGCCCCTGGAAGCAAACAATTTCTCTAGAGACGCGAAACCTTGTTCCCTACCGCTTTGCGTAGAGGGAACGCCCTACACATTCGAATCCTCAGCTTGTCAAAGCGGGGTATTGTAATCGGCCTTATCCGATCGCGCCCTGGCAGCCCATGCCCGAGAGTGC